ATCCTGGGCAGGAACACACAGCCTGCAGCCTGGAAAAACGCTCACTCAGGCAGGATGCCTAGTAATAAATTTATTGTATTTTATTACATATTCCCCTTTTTGCACTTAATTCCAATTCCTCATATTCAAACTCTTCTTTCTGAAAGAAAATGATTTTTAACATAAAAATATAAATTCTGCATATTAAAAGTGCATACACCTTGAATAATAAAACATACAAATAAATAATAAAAGGCATTGACACAGTCTCATGCAGTTGTCCTCAAATAATTTAAAATTTATGGTACAATGTTCAACCCCAAGTAGACAGCCTGCTTTCCAATTACTGTACAGGTCAAAAACATTAAAATACAGAGGAGAATATCAAAGGTGTGGGAAAGCCCCACGTCCCTGTACCAGGTACAGTGATGTGACATGCAGTTTGAGAACTGTAGATATTCCAGTGTAAAATCTGACATTGCGTCCAGAAGAGAAATTGCATTTGCAACAGGACTTAAAATTCAATTTTAACCAATGGTGAGGCACAGGTGGTGAGCAATCTGTACAAATTCATACTTGGAAGGCCACAGGACAATACTGGAGCCACTGGTGGCCTAGATTCCCTTGTGTTACCCTGCCAAGGCAATTAGCACCTCCAAGGGGTTATTGCACTCACAAATGCCACACGAGCCTGAGGCCAGGGCGTGGCTGCAGGGCTGAGTGAGCCGGGACTGGTGGTCACACTTAGTTTTAATCTGTGTCTTTTAAAAAACACTATTTGCAGATAAATTGAGTGCTATCGCCTTTAAAAAAAATAAGAGTCCCTAAGCCTTTAGATCTAACACAGACATTGTACAAGTCTTCAGGTGCTTTTCTTTTATAAAATAAAGCTCTTAATAGTAACTGCTTTACGATGCTTTTGTTGAGAAAACCACGTACGACTTTCATCTCACCACAGATTAAAACTAAATTTCAGTTCCCTCCACAGGTATCATTAGATACTGCCAAATTCTTTTGGATTAGTAGGCAAACGACAAAGATTTAAAAAAAAAAAAAAAAACAACCCCAAAACCAAAGTAAAATTAAAAAAAAAACCACAACACTCAACAGTAAAATTATTTGGAATGTTGTTTCCAACCCTCTCCATGCCAGCTGACCAAGGGAAGGGCACCGAAGCTGCAGGGCCAAGAACCAGGAGGGGTCCAGGGCCCTGCAGAAGCCCGGGCCATGCAGCACACACGGGACACGGCTCAAAGCCCAGCCCAGGGCCCCAGAAAGGCAAAGGCCAAGAGCAGCGTGGGCAGCAGGGACACTCAGAGCAGCTCCGTGTGCCTGCACAGCCCCTCCTCACAGCCCCCTTGCATTGCATGCGACAGCAGGCTACACACAGAACCCTGAGCACGTCACCCTGCTAACAAAAGGAAAAAAACAACACAAAATAGAAATCAGCTTGTTCTCGTTTCCCTGCTCCAATCCCTCTAACCTTATGTTACGCTCCAGCCTTGTCAGTAACGCAGAATCCTGCAAAGGAAAGAGTCAGAGATGTGCAAAGGAAGCAGGAACCCAGGGACATGCTCCTGTGTGCCAGCAGCAGCTGCAGGAGGCAGCAGCACAGACTCCAAGCAGTGCTCCAGAGCCCAGGGCTGGGCCAGAGGCTTGCATAGTTAGTAGGGACATGCACTGGGGACAGCACGGCCATGCAAGCTGCCTCCAACCCACGGAAAGGGTCGGTCATGCTCAAGTCTCGGAAAGCAAAACCCCTGCAGCGACGGCGGATGAGGGCACTTGCAGTGGGAGAAGTGCAGTTAAGCTGCTAGCTTTCTATCCTAAGCATCTTGTTTTTATTAATCCATATTCAATAAGTCTGAAAGGGTTAACAATTTACACACCCTAAGTGAGACACAGGTTACAGAGAACTGCAGGCACCAAATTGTCTATCAAATGTGATTAATACAAATAAAAGGCGCCTCTTCAATACACGTCATTGAAAATGTGCTTATAACTTGAATACTACTAAACACTATCCAAAAGACACAGCCCAAAAAGGGTAAAAAAAAGTCTCTAGGTGACTCCTGTGGGAATTGAGCACTGGAATGAAGGCGCTGCTCTCCTGTGCCCAGAGGGCCGATCCCAGGAGCAGGAGCAAGTGGCAGACTGGGGACTGGGCTGAAATGCAAGTCACACACTGGCACAGGCCACTCCAACCCAAAGGCATTGCAAACACGCTGCCTGAACGGCTGCTTTGCCCTGGAGCTCACCTCTTTGGGACCAGGACACTGGTGGGCCTCCCCTCCCCAGGCATTTCCCATCACCATTCCCATACCTGTCCTTCCAGGACCTTGGCAGGAGGTCCCAGACCCTGCCACCCCCAGACGGGCTGGGCAGGACACACCTGGCAGCAGCTGCTCCCATGGCACTCAGATGCCCTACATGTCACCACCCAGGGGAGGTGGGGGTCCCTGGGCAGCAGCAGCCTCTGGGAGATGGCAGAGCCCACGTCCCCCACTGCCACGGGTGCTTCTGGTGCCACCAGGAACTTTAAGACACGACCATGTACATGCAGCTGCTCCAGAATAGCCTCGAGCCACTGCTGCTTGAAGGATCCATATGCAAAGCCACGGTGGTGCTGGCATCTAGGACTTGGCAGATCCCTCTCTCTCGTGCTCCCTGGTACCATGCCACATCCTGGCAGCTGGACAACACAATACCATGGACAGGAGCTCCTACACATGAAAGGGACAAGAGATAAGTCTGCTTTGAAGCAAGGAGAGGACTGATGATTTTTTCCCCAAATCCCTTTAAGTAGGGCCTGTAATAACCTACATTCCATTTCAGAAACATTTATCCTGCTTCATTGATGGAGTCATGACTGTAACAGCAGCAAGGCTTTGATTAACACTCCCAGTGAGCACCGTTTCCCACACCCTTCAAGCCTCTCTTGTGCAAGGAAGCCGATAACTACTGGAGATGTGTGGACCAACAGGCAGAGGTGTGGAGTGCCGTGAGTGGTGTTCCCAAGGGCCCTGACACAGAGCAGACACACACCTGGAGCAGGGACCTCACTGCACACACCTGGGGCGTGTCCTGTGTCCCACAGAACCCTGGTGCACTCTGCCAAGTCAAATTTTGCCTGAGGACAGCCCAAGCCAAGCTCTCCTGAGCAGAAAACGCAGCAGAGAGGAAATCCCACCTGCTCAGAGATGAGGGCACTGCCAGTGCAGCCCCTCCTGCCTGCTCACACTCCTCTGCACAGAAGGAGCCCGTGCACCACAGCTGCCATTCCAGAGGGACACAGAAATCCTGTTTGGCAGCATAACGAGAGCAGATAGTGCTGGAGCTGGCAGCAATTAGCGTCAGGAATTATGGAGAATGTGCAGAGAGCGAGGTTGGCATCTCATGGGATTGCAGAGGTTCAACTACTTTAAGAGCTGCTGGAATACCAGGACCTCCATCTCCCTTCTACCCAAACGAGAGCTCCAAGCACCATTGTCTTGCTCCAGATACAAACACTGAACTGGTGCTCAGCTAAAACATGGGTTTGGACATGGTTCAAACTCCCTTCAGTCAGGCATGCAGCACAGGAGCAAAACCACCTCAAAACCCACACACGAGCTTCCAGCTTAAACTCCTTCAGTGAGAGATGGCATGAGAAAAAAATGTCATTTGATAAAAATAACCTTTCACAAATGTCCATGGCGAAATGCACAGAAAGTAGTTCTGTCTATTAAATATCCCAAACCGAGTCAGCATAAGCCACCGGAATTACATTCTTGCTAGAAGAGTTGTTACAAGAGAAGAGCCAAGACAGTGTAAGACCTTAATACAGATAAAACCTTAAACAAATACTTCAACATCAACATTTCAGGGAGTAATTTAAGTACTGCAATATGAAGCAAGTCTTATCTGCTCTGCTGGATATAACAGAAAATAATCCAAGAATAATCCAAGTCATACATTTCAGAAGCAAGCAATGCAATCTTTGCTTCTTGTTGCTGCAATAAATGAGACTGAAACAATGCCTGGGTGAAGGAATGCATTGAGGGGACACAATGCTCATGTTTGGGCTGGAGCAATCAGGGCATTGCATGTGCAGCCTGTGGGCACTGCTGGGGCACGGGAAGGGGATCAGCAGGACATCACCAGGACACTGCAAGGGCTCCTTCCACGGCAGCTGGGCTCAGCCCCACACACTGACTGCAGCTCCCTGGCACTGCCAGCTCAGCCCCACACACACTCCCAACCCTTCCCTCCCACTGCTGCACGTGTGTGGTGAGCAGAAATCTGACCACAGAGCAGACCTGGGGCAGGGCTGCCTGCAGGGCAGTTTGTTATGGGCTCTGTCTGATGGGACAGCACACACGTCCCTGGCCCCAAGCTATGCCCAGAGAAGCTCTGCCATGGGACTGGGGTGGCACAGACCTGGCTCAGCAGAGAGCATGCCCAGCTTATCACAGCCTACAGCACATAAAGGATATGCAGCACATCAATAAAAACTCATGGAATTTTAAAAAAAGGATTACACCACATATATGTAAAAGGACTTAAGAAATCCACCTTGAGAGGAACCTTACAGAACTTGAGGAATCTCCCCTGTAAGAAGGGCATGTAAACAAAGACATCAGTAGATGTAGTGTTTTGACCCTGATGGAGGCTGTCATCCAAACAAGGGGAACCTTCCACTGAGGGACATGTGGCAGCCAGACCCATGGGGAGGGGACCAGCGTGCCACTGGGAAGAACAGGAAAACTGCCCCAGGGGTTTGGGTGCAGCCCCTCCAACCCACACGAAGGGGCCTGTCAAAGCATGCTCAGAGGGGGCAGCATGACACTCGACCTAACCTTCACCCCTAGAGATAAGGGAGGCTTAATTACTCCACTATGGTAAGGGTCTGAGCACATCAGGAAATGCTTCCCAGGAGTTTGAACATCCTGGCAGCATCATGGCCATCCAGGTGTGTGGACATAACTCTCCCATGGCACTGCTTCCACAGGATGAGCTGGCCAGCAGCTGCTGCCCAGGGATTTCTACTGTTGTTTAGCAGTGCATTTCAGAAGAAAATAGTTAAACAGGACAGGGCAGAGGTTGCCTTAGGTATGGACAAAGCAAAACTCTTCATAGACACAGCAACAAAAACTGCAGGTTACATTTCAAACTTCCTGCTGTTGGAATGCAAAAATGAAATCTGTTACACAGACACACAGGTACCTTTCTGTCTGTCACTAATGCTAGTCCCTCCTATACCGGCTGAGTATATACCTGAGAAACAACATTAGTGTTGAAATATTGCCCTTTAGAAAGCTTGAAAATGGAGGGGAGCAGGGACAGAGAGTTGAGAGCAGAAAGAAGCGACAGTCTCTACAGTTTCCTTCGCATCCTCCACAGCTCAGAACAAGGCCATACACCAGTGTGGACACAGCCCACCCACAACAAGACCAAAGGAATATCAGTTCACAGCTCTACAAAGCACACCAGTGTCAGTACAGCTGGGGGTCAGGTCCCAACTCTCAGATCTGAAGAAAGTTGTTGCACTTTCGACAGAGACTCCTGTACAAGTGCTATGGGACAGCTGCATTCATGTTCAACAATGACTCCAGCTAGGCTACTTGCACCAGTGCTGGCTGCCTGTGGCTATTTGGTTTGATGGCAGAATCAAAGGCGCTTTGACAACTCGCAGTTAACTTCTCCTCAAAACATACATTAGGCACATGAACAAAAAACAAGAGCTCAGAATAAATTAGCTTCTCAGCAGAAGAAAAGACACCTGGATTGCAGCATTTCACTGAGGTTCCAGAGAAGGCCGTACAGACACCTGCATGCTGGAAGGTAACTTTTTCAGTGGCTTGTCAGCAGACTGCTTGCCACTGGAAGGAGGAGAGTGGACTCTGGGATCTAGCTGGGAAGACTTGGACTTGCGACTGGATAGCAGAGAATGTTTGTTAGATGTGGCATCTTTTGAGACGAGTTTTTCTTTTGTAGTGATGTTGGCGTTGGTTTGGGAGGCTGGGGGGACACCGCCTTTCTCTGGTTTGTCCTCCAGCACGTTTTTAGTGCCTGACTTGGAACTGACACTCCCTGTCTTTTTCGAAAGCATCGTTGTCTTCCCCAGGTCTGCCGAGCGCCGTGTCTCCTTCTGCCTTAAGGCTGATTTAAAGAAAGACAAACCCTTCTCCTCGGACTTGCTGTCCCTCTTGAGCGCAGAGCGCGCCGCAGCGTTCGGGGAGCGCAGGTTGGCCATGGAGGAGCTGCGCACGTGCCTGCTGTCCACGGCCCTGCTGTCGCTCCTGGAGTGGCTGATGCGAGGGGAGCTCGTTCTGGAGCTGCTGGTAACGCTCGTTTTATCCGAGCCCAGGCTGACCTTGGAGCCCTCCCTGCTCAGGCTACGCTCCGAAGTCCGGCTCTTCCCAGAGGAAGAGCCCTTAGTCAATGAGCCTGATGGGGTTCTCTTGGCAGCTGTGGAGGATGGAGAGGAACCTGACTTCTGCTTCTGTTGAGCTGATGGGACAGATGCCTCCAGGGGCTTCGTGCTGTGGTCCTTCCTAGCCTGAGTGGGAGCAGGAGACCCGTGGCGCCCACTGACCCTGGAAGAGTCTGTCTTACTCCTAGAGCGGGAAGCTTTCTGAGAACTCTTCAGTGGAGGAGAAGAGTGAGAGACTTTGGTCTCTTGGGGAGCTAAGACTGTCCTTCCCTTCCTCAAACTTTTGTCTGGCTCAGAAGCTCCTTTGGAGCTGTGACCCTTCTTAGGGGTGTCATGTGCCTTCTCTGCAGCCAGCCCCGTCCCAGCTGGGGCTTTCACCTCCTTCACTGGGGAGCTGTCCACAGAATCACTCTGGTCAACAAAGGCGATTTGATTGTTGTTATCAAAAGGGTCCAGAGCAGGGTGACTCCTGTCTGGCTGCACAGAGCTTTTCCCATAGCCATCTGAAAGGTCTGAGCTGGATGTCCTTACAACGGACTCTTCCCTGAATGCCCCTTCCATGACAGCCAGAGGGGCTCTGCGAGCTGTCCTGTGCTCTCGCCGGCTGTCACAGGGCTCCAAGTAACTGCTGGAGAGATTCCTCAGGCTGCCAAAGCACGAGGTGGAGACTTTATCATCAGCAGCTTCCCCAATCTTCTCCAGAGTGGAAGCAGAGGTATGTACTGGGGAATCTCCAGAGAAGCGTGATGGGGAGTTGGAGCGGAACTGCAGTTTTGCAGAGAGCGACCACGAGGGTCTGACACCATTTTCACTCACTGCCAGTGGGCTGGTGACAGAGGATCTGGATGACAAGCTCTGACGCTGAACACTCCTTACAAATGGTCGAGTTGAAAATCCTCCTGCAGAGAAAGCGAGTGACAGCGTCAGTGGGAAAGCCAAGGCTGCAGCTGCTTTATCCCACCCACCCACATTTCCCCAGGAGAGCCAAGCAGCCCAACCACACACTATGTGTCTGTCCATGCAGGCTGCAGGCACAGCTCCTTGCACAAAAGCTCAATGAGGAGTCCAACAACTGTTATTTGCTAGGGGTCACCCAGGAGTAACTCTCTGAAGCCTCTAACTGATAACCCAGATTCTTCTCTCATCCTTGAGCAGCAGATCAAACACAAGGTTTGCACCTCAAAAGTCCTTGAAACTGGCAAGATCACCAGCTAGGATTATGATTCTGCATTAAAGAATACTTCCCAGAGCATTCTGTGAAAGGCAAAGTAGGATTCCTACCTGAAGATCAAGTGATGTAATTGTATTTAGAAACACAAAATATAAGTATTTTACAAGTGTGACTTCCATGGCCAGACCTGAGAGCTGTCACAGAACTGCTGCAGGGACATCTCCACACCAGCTTCCAAATGCTCTGACTGACCCATGGAGCTCCACATTCCCCAAAGTTGCAAGGCAATGTATGGAGGAACCAGGCAAAGCCAGGAACTGAACAGTAACTTGTGTACATGAGTGAATTTGCAACTCCCTCCCTCCCTGGGACCATCCAGCAGCAGGCAATTAGTGCCTATGCTGAATCTGTCAGCATTGTGTCAGCCACCCTGCAAAGGTGATGCAGTGAGACCCAGAGAGAACACAAACACAAGAAGTTCCTGACAGAGAGGTTTTGTTGATGGCATTTGCTTTCTTTGAAAAGCTCCTTAAGATCCTGCCCTGTTCTCCTCCAACCTTTCACATGAGACAGAGCCATCTCCTGCCTCTCTCAGCTGCTGGAGTGACCACAGATTCTGCAGCTGTTTTAGCAGGGATCTTGCAACAGAAAGACAAGACAGCAGTGTGTGGGACACATATTGAGAAAGTAAGAAAATTACAGCCTGAAAAATATTCCAGGCTGGAGCTTTTCAGCTTATCCCAGCCGATAAGCTCGTCCAGCTCAAGGCTAGGGAGAATTTCTCCCAGGGTGATAATTTGGTCAAAATAAAAAGGAATTAATAACAAAGATAGAACACCTGTTGTGGTGTGTGCCCAGGCCCTGGCAATGGGGTGTCTTCTCTCTGAACCAATCACCTTTTCTCTACTCTTGGAGTTGCAGTCCTGCTATAAAACCAAGTGTGTTTCTGAATAAACTTGGCTCTTTCTTCCTTTCATGAGAGACGACCATGTAGCTGTGCATCTTATTTCCATCACACTTCAAGGGTTAAAACCCCTTACCCACGGCTCCAGCAGCGGTACCCACCATCATCCTCACTGCGCTCCCCGGCGAGCTCCACGGACTCGGAGAGCGAGGCCAGGGACGTGCGGCGGGAGGAGGCGGCCGAGGCCACGCTGGGCTGCTTGCTGCCCGGGAGCCGGCTGAGCCAGTGCTCACACAGTGACGAGCTCGTGGAGCCTGCAGGGACACACAGGGACACGTCAGCAGCTGCACACAGAGCCCTGGCAGGCCAGGGAGCCAGCACTGCTCTGCCCTGGCTGACACCGGTGCTGGCCCGCACGGCCACAGCGGCCAGGCACGGCCAGGGGAACGGGGCTTTACTCTCATGGAACGGTCATGCTCAGAACAAGACAGAACTGCGCTTGTCCCAGTGTGCTGCCAACACCAGCATGCAGGCAGTGGTGGCATTTCAGCTGCCATCCCAACACCACAGAAATCTTTTTTTTCCAGGGGCAGGTCACCAAGCCTGCAGCTGCCCACGGCTCAGCCTGCATTCCACCAACACGTGCACTACTGGTGCCCCCTTGGGACTGAGAGTGCTGCCACAGGGAAGGAGCAAGTCATGGTTTGATATCCTGCACAAGGGCAGCCCTGAGCAGTCACCCGTGGGAGCACAGGGGTTTCTCCATCTCCAAAGCCTCCCTGCCAAAACTGCTTTAGCAGAAGGAGGTGGAAACCTCCCATGGCCTCTGACACACAGCCAGATTCAGACAAGCCTCACTGGGCTCTGGGACACAGGAGTGGGGGTTTAGGCTGAGCTGGGTAGAAAATTCTCCAGAAGGACAAACTATCCATGAAAGACAACTCAGAGCCACCCCTGGAAGTGCCAGCAGGGCTTACCTGCCACGGAGCTGTTGGCAGACCAGGAGGGGATGGCTGTGCGTCGCTGGTAGAACAAGATGTAAGCTGTCTGCTTGCACACCTCACTTTCACAAAGTTGCTGAACTTCACTGTCATCGAAGCAGTACCACTGGCCATCAACAGAATTCTTGCAATATGCTAAGAAATAATACATTACTGTCAGACTCCCTGACTCCTACTGCTCTCGGGTTTGCTGTATGATATTTAACATAACTCATCTGCTATGATGGGCTCCGAGGACAATGACAGGAACAGATTTATTCCTGCACCATCTTCCAGTCTGACTGGCAAGATGGAAGCCTGAGGCTGCCAGAACATAATAAACAGATTACACTTCAGGACTTTCTTTGTCCAACATTACCCCTCAGAACAGAACATCATTTGGGTGGCTCCATTCACTTCATCCTCTGTACCTTGTGACACTGCTCCCATCAGTGACTCCCTTCCTGACTCCATACAGAAACAGAACCAGTTTCTGTGTGAAAGGCTCCAGCACAGATAGCATAGCAGGACACTTGCCTGTGTAGTGTCCCCCTTGCATGGTGCCATGGTGGTTGCACACAGCATACAGGTCATAGATGTAGTCCTCAGGATCTCTGCCCAGGCCATAAGGCTTCCTCCAAGGTGACCAGTGGGATGGCAGGCTCCAGCTGCTCTGGCTGCGTTTCACAACGTGAGGGGTCATGTCCAAGCCACTCAAGGGAAATTTAACCATGTTCTGAAGTTTCATCCTTCGGTCTCCTTCCTGTGCACAGAGCAGAGCATGAGCTGCAGAGGCCAAGGCCTGGGAAAAGCCCAGGTGAGGAACACACGGGGCACAATGGCTGCTTCTAAAGAGGGGAGCTACTCACATCACACAGCAGTCCCCAAGCAACACTCCAGGCATCCTTACCTGTCTAAACCTTTTGAGATGGATGATGAGAACATCAGGTAAGGTCCAGAGGCTCAGTGTGATGCTACCCTGCTGCAGCTGCTTACAGTGTGGGCATCGCCATGCATCATCTGGGGCAAGCTGCAAGGAACAGGCAGGGCTGGGTACTGGTTTTCAATTCCAAGGCAGCCTGCACCACAGCACTGCTCCTCTGCTGTCCCAAGCCCAGTGCAGACACTGACCCCTGTGCCTCAACTCCCTCCAGCATTTATCAAGCTCACTGGAAATGCAGGGCTCCCAATGATGCTTCTCAAAGTGACAAGCAGAGGCGTGTGCCTCATTCAGGAGGCACTTCCTCCTGCAAGGCAGAATTCAGCCGGGGCTGCTGTGAGGAGGAACTTTTTGCACCTTATAAATGCCAGTGCCTTGGAAGTGGAGAAGGAAAAGGAAAAACCAAGGCAAAAAGCAGGCAGGCTTGGCAGCCTGGAAAGTATTCTCAAAAGAAAACCAGCAGTAGAAAAAAAGCAGGGAAAAAAAAAACAAAACAGAAAAAGATCAGAACAGAAAGAAGAAAGGTGTACTTTGGATGTCCCCTCTGCAGTCCCAGCAGCACAGTTACACACTGAAGACTCTCCCTGTCCCCCAAGCCTCCCTCCACAGCCCAGTGCTCAGAGAGCTCAGCAGCCACAGAGATTTAAGCTGCCAAAAAGCTCTTCCCCCCCTCTGAAAGAACCAACAAGAGAGGTTCCCAAATTATTACAGGCTCAGTCCTGGGTCCAAAGACTTTCTCCAGATGAGCCCTTTGTACAGCAGATTAGAGACTGCTAAAGGAATTGAGCTGGCTTCCATGTGCCAGGCAAGGGCCAGGTCAGAGCCCTCTCTGTGCTGCTGTTCAAGAGGGTCCCACGCAGTGGGGGCTGCCTGAGCCCACTCCAGCCCTGCCCAAGCTTGGGAGCACACAATTGCTCCAGGACACTCTCATGAAGCCACATTGTCCTAACCTTTTATAATATTTATAATATTTCACAGAAGGAAATTGTCAAAGAGAGGACAAAGTTCTTGTATCAATATCTGGGCAGCAAAGAACCCAGCAGCAGGACCTCCCACAACCCTCTGACTGCAGAGGAGCTCTGTTAGCAGCACACATAAACAGTCCTGTGCTACAAATCTATTCTCCTGTCACAAGGAATCAATGTTAGCAGAAGAGAGCTGCTCTGGAGTGAGGGAGTTCCTGCAGCACGTGAGCAAGCCAGAGCACACAGTGTGTATCTACCTGTTCCTCTTTGGTGTACAGTTGGAAACACTGAGATAAAGTGCAGGTCTGAGGTTGATGATGAAGCTCTCTCTGCTGGCGGACGCTTTCAGAGTCTGGAATATATTCCTCTTCTGTATTCACGAACAAGCTGCACCAGGGAGACACCACATTTACCAGCACATCCCCTTCCCCCCAGGCTGGCCCTGCAGACAGGGGCTGGGCACAGCTGGAGTTTGAGCAGTCTCATGTTTGCTGAGGGATGCACAGCTCACACAAGCAAGCTGCAAGCAGCAATTGTGAGGTGAACACAGTTTAAGGTTCTTTACTTCATACTTACTAATCTTTAGTTTCTTTGTCCCATTCTACCACTAATTTCACATGAGCAGTTCCCCCCTGTCCGCATGATTTCAATGCCCTGCAGAGAGGAGCAGACAAGTCAGACCATCTTTCAACCCAAAGTCTACATTATCTTTACAGGCATACAATTTCTCTCCACAAACCCTTCATCCTTCCTCCACTCCCACAGCTCAAGTTTGCAAAGGAGTAAAAGGAATTCACACAGCAAAACACTTGGCAGAGCTGATAAATGCCTTTATCCAAGTATGGGAGTTCTGTAAGGCAGCAGACACCTGTTACAGAACAGGCATTTACCAACATTTCAAAGAATAACAGACACAACAAAAATTTTTAAAATAGTGGGAGTAGTATTTTCATTCTGTTCTCTCTTTCCAGGGAGGACAGACTCCAGATGGCATGACACACAACTGAGATATTCTCACACAGCTTCCTGAGGATATTCCCTCATTTCCCTGCTCTGCAGTCCATTCCACACATCCACACCAGGACTGCTCATTTCTGCACGGTTAACACCCAGTTCCCAGCTAACACACCTCTCTCCACCCCTGGGAAGCACCCAGCCCCCGAGGGCCAGCTCACCTTTCCACTGTTGGGTGGCAGAGGGGTCTCTCCTCCTGAGGTAGCAAGTATGTTATGCCCACAACACTGACCACTCGCAAGCTGAATGGGCAAACCTGCAACACAGACAACAGGAACCCCCTCAGTGCTCCAGCCTGCCCACTAACTGCTCCCAGCACTGCCTGACACACACTTTACCCTAGAACACGTCTGACATGAGGAAACAAATGCACAAGGTCTCAAATGTGCCTGTGCCAATGAGCTGGCAGAGGGCTGATGTACAGCACTGGAACCTGTGCATCCAACAGCTCCTCTCTGGTGACCAGAGAGAACATTTGTCTCACCTGCAAGCAGGCTGCAGGCCGCAGGAAATACTGCATCTTCTCCAGTATTTCCTTCTGCAGAATATCCCAAGCAATTGTTTTTTCCAAGTGCAACACAAAAGGCAAGCCAAACCTATGGGAAGGAGAAGCATTTGAGGAACAATTTAAAAATGATCCTGTTCAGCAATCAGAACCCCAAACTACATGGGAGAACTTCATGTGAAGTTTTGTGAAGCTTTAGAGCCTGAGGCAGCTGTCAGGCTCCAGCTGATAAACATGCCTTTGCCATGGCTGTTTCTCACTTTCCTCCCTTCCCCCATTTTCACTCCAATTTAACATTCCTACTCATAACAAGGTCTGGTCAAACATGCTGCTCTCAAATCAGACAAAGGTGGTGTATCCTCCCAACTGGGCTGCATTTGCTCCTTTACAGAAATGCAATACTTGAAGTTCACCAAAATCAGAAATATTTTGCTGCACCCATTAATGCATTGAACAACGTGTTCTTTAGCACCTGATGTGAGCCAGGGATGCAAGCTGCTGCTCCTTCACCTGGAGCCTGTACTAGAGGAGAGTAAAGCCCAGCTCAGTTTAGGAAGCAGCCAGAAGAGCAGCTCCAAGCATGCTGCTGCCAGTCACCTTTTGCTCTGCTGTCCAGTGCACGCTCTGTTACACACCAGCAAGACAATCTTGTCATTTGCTGCTACTTTAGGACAGGACTGTTCCAGTTTTCCAGACTTCACCGTTCCTTGAGAGTAAGCTATTGTTCGGGAGTGCTCAGTGCCACATTTCAAGTTATTCAGGTTATTGTTCACATGTATTCCTGAAAAATTAGGAGAAAGGAGACATTTCACTATGTCATTTGCCTTTAGTGTCCTCATGCCCCCCCTGGGCTGCAGAGGAGCAGGTCAGTATGGAATCAGGAGCATTTTCATCACTTGTACAAAGGTTTAAAACTTCCATTTCACAGTGCCAGTTTCTTTAGAGAAGGACATTATATGCAAGTGCTCCCCATCTTATTTTTCACAGCAGGTTGTACAAGCACTCTCAGCTCTTACTGCCTGCAAGAAAAACTGAAGTGCCAGGAGCCCAACTTGTTACTTTCAATAATAAAATTCACCTGTGATTACACTCCATCTGCCCAGGACACCATGATTCCCTTTCACTGAGGGGACATGCAGAGGCCCAGGAGTTTGAGCTTGCAAAGAGAAAGTGTTTGTTCATTCCTGAGACTGTTTAATCACTAGCAATCTGATTTTAAATAACACTGTTTCAGTGGCTTCATCTGGTCCCTAGCAGGTCTTTAAATTAAGCCTGACAAGAGATTTCACATTAAGCCAGCCTAGCCCGCAGCATCAGCCTCGAGAAGAGGCAGAAAGGAGTGTACAACACTGCTTGATAACCTCCCAGCTGACAACACTATTAAATCTTCTGCAATGAGCCTGGACAAAGTCAGAGCTGAAATCAATACCCCAGAACATCAACAGCTTGTGGGATTCACTCTTTTCTCACACAAACCTCCCTCAGCAGTCACTGAGGTGGGTATCAAGAGGAGTTATTGACTCACCTCTCTGACTGAGGATGCCCTCGGGCCTGAAGGTCTCTGGGGTCTCAAAGGCAAAAATGCAGTCGCTCTCGTGGATGGTGTCCAGGTCGTCGGTGTCGCAGAAGGAGCGATGGAACCCATCGTAGTACATCTCTGTCAGCACGATCTGCAGGCAGCACAGGCAAACCAGAACCCATCAGAACACCCTGGCTCCAGCTCACTCACTGCCCCATCTCTCAGCTGCGATTTTCCTGCTAAGGGATGGCACTCCTCAAGACATTCTGTTGTCAGCCAGGAGCAAGGAAACAAGAAGCTGGGGTAAAAGCAACATATGGAAAGGGTTTTGTGGAATTCAACAGCTTTCCTGAAGCTCTTCCTACAGAGGAATTGGCTGTAGGTGTCCAGTGGTTGCCTTGCTGCCAGCATGCACAGATCACCAAGGGGTCAGGCAGGTCTGGACAAACCACTGAGGGCTATTCCAACACCACTAGGATTCAAACAGCCAATGCACAGGGAAAAGCACAATCCAGATTTCCACCCCTACCTCGCTTCCCTGTTTAACCATGGGCAGCAAATTTTGATTTCTCCATATCCAAGAAGGGACAAAAGCCTCCACTGTCCCTCCCACCGCAGGGAGGGCACCCAGGTGAGCAGCCCAGCCCCTTACCTGCTCCGTGGGGATCTTGGTTTCCGAGGACACGGCCTCCCTGAGCCTGGCCACCGTTCCGGACACGGGCACGGCCACCCCGATGCGCATGCAGTGCGAGCACTTGCCCTGGTACACCACGGTCACGTACAGGGGCCTGTGGAGAGCATGGCAGCACTGCTGGGCACCTCTGGGCACTGCCTGCAGCAGCCTCGGCCCAGCCCGGGCACACCCAGGCTGCTCACCAGGCACAGGGCACTCCTGACTGCCCGCATCCACCTCACACTGGAGGTGCTCTCAGCTGCAGCCACACAAGGGCCTTGGATTTACAGACTCCTGTCTCACTACATGGCCTGGTGTTACTGGCTCCCACAAGCAGAACATCTCAAAAAAGACCCACAAAGTTAAAAACAAAACTATCTGTGAGAAGGCAATCATTTTTCCAACAGGGACCTTGTAAGGAAGCTCGGGACAGTCCGTGTAAGCACCCTGGGAGCAGGCTCTGCCTCAATCCTGCCTCCAAGAGCAGCCAGCAGCACTCTGGGGAGACAGGAGGGAGGGGACACCTTCCCTGGACAGCCCACCCAGCCTCCACCCAGTGCTGAAGCAGGGATTTCCAGAGCAAACGGGACAGAGCAGCATTGAAACTGCCCTCTGATCACACTGTTCCATTGCTTCCAGAACCTACACAAGTTTTCTGGATGCAAACACCAGGTGGAGGAGTTTGTTTATACCACAGGTAGTTTTGCTGTGCATCTCCATCTTCACTTTGAATGCTTTACCTGAACTTTTTTTCCTCCCCAAAGCCTTTTTCTTTATTTGCATCAGCTGTCTTTCAAAAAAGCAAAATATTTTGCAGGAAAGATTCTAACTTCAATTTTTTTTAAATTGGAGTGATCAGTGAAGCTGTTCTAAAAAAAAGTATATTCCATCCTTTTCCCTTTTTTAAGATGCTGTAAATCCAGTGAAAAGCAAAATATTTTGGTTATGTGAAACAAAGACTTTTCCTCCCAAAATTAATTCTATAGGAAGAACAGGCCTTTCTCAAACAAGTGAAAGGCTCAATTTTGCATTTTACCTGCAGAGCAAAACATGAAATCCCCATATGGTCCTATCTACCTTCTTTAATGACTTATCAGAAATGTTGCTGATAGTGTGCTCCTGCTGCAGCCAATGAAGCAGCAGGACATGCACGGGGAAGAGCCAACGCTGGGCTGAGGACAGCTCCATACCGAGTGTGGGGCAGAGGGATCGGCAGCGAGATGCACAGGAAAGGGTCAAAGGTGTTGCTCTGCTTCTGGCAGTGAGGGCACGTCAGGGAGGACCTGGGACAAACAGGATAACAGGGCACAGTTACAGCTCACTTCACTGGGAATGTATGAACCACCAAACCCCATGCTCACCAGCTGCAGATCAAACGGGAAACCCTGGAAGGGTTTTGTGCTTGGAGAAAGGTGAAGTGACAGGACAGCACTGGGCTGCACACAGCTCTTACACAGGAAAAACTCCAGAAAAGAATCCATTCTCATTCTCCTAAACTCCATTCTCATTCAGAATCAATCTGCACCTTACAATGGCTTTGTGTCTTAGACCAGGCTTAACGTTTCTCCTTTGCAAAGGAAAAGTTGGCAAATACTGGGATGAAAGCCCAGCAATTTTAATTCTTACAGCACAAGCCATCAAGGAACGCTGGTGATTCAGCTGTTCTCTTCCAATAGCTCTGAAATTAGAAAGCTCTCTTCCCAGAAAGTAGGGAAAGCCCTGAAGGGACAGTGATAAACTTCAGCTCAGAATTCCCAAATGCCAGATGACAAGCGCTGTGCACACACTGGGGATCCCTCACTCCCAGGCACCTCTAGATCCTGCCATGGGCTCTTTCCTCTGACAGGGTGAGCCTGAGCCTTTCCTGAGCCTTTGCTCATGAAGCACTGACTCACTTTCAGGATGCACAGAACAGCTGTAGGGGTACATAGTGCAGATTTACACTGAATATACCAATTCTGAAGCAGTGAAATTATCTTTCCTCTGGAGCAAGGTCTTAGTTCAGCAAGAATTCAGAAGGAGCTGTTAACACAGTGACACCAGTCCCAACTGTACTGGGAGCCAGTGTCACTTTAGAATTAACACTGGGGTCACCCATACATTCAATAAACTTACAGAATACCATACCTGTACTGGGCTTGAAAGAGTTCCTGCACAAAAGTGCTACTGATGGGAAAGGCTGGACCCTCAAGCAGGACATCATCCTCCAGAGGTGGCTAAAAGAGAGGAACAAACCCTTGAGGCACACCCAGGCGTGGTGGCTGCACCAAGCAGGCAGCTCCAGAACACCAGTTAAATTTTGCCTTCCTTAGCCAAAAGCACTGGGAAAACGCCACAAGCATTTTTAACTACCAAGCACACTCTGCTCCAAGGGCTGGGCATGCAGGACAGTGAGGTGGGCAGGGAAGCCCAGGGAAGGGTCTGGGTCTTGGGGCTCTCACCTGACAAGGTCCAGCAGCCCCAGTAACACCTCCTGGTTATTGCAGAGCCACTCAAACACAACTGCCCCAGGGAGCACTTGCCAGGGGTTAGTGGAGCAGCTGGATATACTCCCAGGGCAGAAACAATCATTATTTTAACCCAAGCTTTTGTTCCATCCGAACTACTCAAGCTGAGAAGCCAGTGGGGAGAGCCACTTTAAAAGGAGAGCCTGTGTGCAGTCACAGTGTCCCCCAGCAGAATCCCTTACCTTGAGTGGAGGCATGCCACCAGAATTGACCACGTTGTTCAGATCCTCGTGGACCCTGTCGAGGAGCCAGAGCAGGAACTCCTGGGCATCGTGCTGGGCGTTCCCACGGTACTGCATGGCATTCTTGGACACGATGTTCTGTGGGAGCAGACAGTGCAGCAACAGCTAATGCTGACCCCAGGCCACCCCATCACACCCAGCCCTGCCTCACAGCACCTGACACCGTGAAATCCTCTGCTTGTTCAAGCTGCAGCAAAACGAGAACTTAGCCTACGAATGCCCACGCACTGTGTGCTGCCCACTGCAGCTTTGGTGAGGTCACACATTTCCCAAAACCTTGGTGCAGGTGTTGAGTGCTAGTTTAGGTCTACAATTGCAGAGAGGTGCAGCTTTCCCTGCACACAGGGAAGAACAGCATGGCAGAAAGCAGAGCTGGAGCAGCACCCGTGCCAGGCTGTGCTGCACCTATACCCTTGGCACACCTGCCCAGGTGAAAAGCTGCTCTCACAGCACTCTCACTTACTGACACGGATCCCCAGGAGGGACAGGGGCACTGGCAGAGCCCACACAACACCTGCAGGGCAGGAATGGGTGGGAGGGCTGCAGAGGCTGCACATGTGCCTGGTGCCAGAGCTCCTCCACTCCTCTAATCAGACTTTGCAATAGATTTGAGAAATGAGGTTGGGTTGCTCGCTTTATCCCTCTGAAAATGGGGTCACTGGGGAGGGGGATGGTGATGAAAGAGGCAGGAAAGGACTGATAAACATATACTGTCTATGCTCTGTAATCTGTCCACCTGTCTCAAGGCTGCAAAATAATGGAAAACAGAAATAATCTGCTCTCATTACATATGTGCAGCCCTTCTGACAGCAGTTTTACTGCCTTTGCCGTGCAGGGACCAGCACCCTCCCACATAAAATATGTGCACACAGCTCAAACCATGGGAGTGGTCCCCAGCCAACACTCAGTGCCACGCTGCTGTGACCCCAGCACCTCTGCTTGATGCCCAATGTAACCTCAGCTTGGGATGCTGCTGCAAATCTTTTTATGGGGGAGAGAAATTGGAAGCAGTCTGTGGGCACCCAAAGATTAATGGAGACCAAACAGCCTCCTCTGCTCCTAGTTCCTATTAAGCAAAGCAAAAACCACTGGCAGAAATAAAATCATAAAATGTAATCCATAAAATGGATCCAAAAATGTCTTCTCAAGTACCAGCCTGATACCTCTTGCCCTCCTTCAGCAGGAAGGTGAGCTGAATGCACCCAGAATGTAAGGCATACATGTGGAGACTTGCTTTGCAAACATTAACTTTGTTCAAAAAAACCTACACTGAAAATTTAATTTACTTAAATTACTTTGTTAAATTTGAAACTGAGAATCAATCACTAACATGTGAAGCAGAGGCTGTAGTCCACCTTTAGTGGTCACCTCACTACACCTCTCCAGAACTGTTTGGCATGCTTCTACACTAACACACCAGTTTTAAGAGCTGTACCCATCCTTCCCAACCCACTGTGCCCTGCTCAGTGCCAAGAGATGATGTCCCTCACTCCTCTGAGGGAGCAGGGCTCCAACAGCACTGCAGGTCACCACAAAGCCAAGCTCATTCTTCTCAGTGTTGACCACAGAGAGCCAAGGGCAAGAAATGCAGAGGTGGCTGCCATGTGTGGGTGGGGATGTGTGCCAGCAGTGTGTGCTCCCTCTGTGCCAGGACATGGAAGGTGTGATGGGAGCAGCCCACACTGATGCTCTCCCACCAGCCAGAGCCAGCAGCCTGTCCTGGCCTTGCAGCTCAGCCAACACTGTCACTACACTTCACGGGCCCATCCAACAGAGCTGACCACAACAGGCTCTTGGCATCGCTGGAGGAAACAAATCCAGCATCTCAAGTGAAAAGGGCACATGGAGGGGCTCTGTACAGAAACATAAGGACTTTGGGAATCCAGGCTAGTATTTGTTATTGGCTCTTCCCCAGAGGCACAGCACATCAGTCCAGAGCCTCCCTGGCTTTCACTGATGTGTGTCCCACAGAGAGCAGGCAGCCTGTGCCAGAACCCAGGGATGCACAGCAGTCATGTGCCTTGCTCTCTATCTGTGCCACTGCTCGGCTCAGAAGCATCTCCGTGATAATTGCTCTGGTTTTCTCAACACTCTTACAGCCTGAGTGAAGTAAGGATAAAGAGCTGCCTGTGGAGACACATCACAAGATGCTGGAAGTGATTCAGGAAGCACTACAAAATATCAGATGCAACTTCCTCACAAGAGGCTCTGCTAAACAAACACTCCAGCAGCAGCAGCAGCATGCTCCCAGCCCCACTCACACTCCCTGCCAGAGCTGCTCCAGCTGGGCCCATGACTGCTCCAAGCCCTGTGGCTGCTGCTGCAGGGAATGAATGCTGTGTGCCCTCCTCCCAGCCAGGTTTCTTGTCTTTGCCATAACCCTAAACTCTTACTCTTCTTTTGCTCATCACTTAAGACAACACCGCATTTTGCTGGTCCTGCAGTAATGCAACAGCAACTGTAACTGGATTCAGATACAGAGTAAGGAAGCAAATGCTTTATAAACACATGAAAACCACCACATTTACCAACCCCCAAGAGCAGTTAATCCTCTGTCCCTAATCTGGCTCTCCTGTAAGCAGAGTTGACACATCAGACCAGCCTCTGTCCAGCACTACAGGGTATTAAGAATAACTCCAGAACAATTCTGGTGCAGCTGTTCCAGCTGTGAGGCACCAGGAGTGGCCATGGACCCCGACACTGCCTCCCAACACCCTCCAAGATGCACAGCACCTCCAGCCCTTGGCTCAGCTGAGCCCCTGTGAGCTTGGCAGGAGGTGGGTGGACCCTCCATCCACCAGATGTGCATGCAGTGGTACACAGACACCCGGAATGAAGTGGCTCCATCCAAAGAGATAAGGGAGAAAATTAGAATTTCCCATCAATCCCACTTATGTACCTCTAATGCAGGCAGCCTGCAACCATATCAGTCCCTGTCTGTCCATAAGGGAGATTTACAGCAAAGACATATTATCATTTTTATCAGGCCACTGAAAGTTTAATAAGAATTCATCTACTGCTCTAAAGAGATGCAATAAATAGATCAAAACAGAGCTGAACTACTGGCCTTTTCTTTGCTGCTATTATTGTTCCATATCACAAAGACAACTAGAGGAAAAATGCTGGTCTGCTATTTTCCAATGTGGCCCTGCTAGGAAGCAGCTGTGGAAGGATTTTGCACATGAACAGATGAAGTCAGCTCATTAGAGACCTGACCCAATGACACACATGCACAGGAAAGAAAGTCTGTTCTTTATCTTCTGTTGAACAGTGAGTTATGCTCAACCACATCATTTCTCTTTTTTAAGCCCACAACCACAGTTTTGCCTTTGAGTAAGTTCTACAGCAGACAACCACTCACCTGAATTACTGTCTGCTCACACACAGACAGCACCTGTCCCTCTCCAGAGATGTTCTTTTCTGGGGAGACCAGCAGGTCTGCCACAGCAGCCAGGGCAGGACACAACACTCCTCCCTTGCTCTGTGGGCATCCAGAGACAGCACCCATGGGACATGGCAGCTCCACGGGCACCCCGTGTCCCCTCACAGACCCACCCTGTGCAGTGCACAGCCCTGTGGGAATACTTCAGGAAGCAAAGCCAAGAGGAGACGTCAGGGAGCAGCACAGCAGCACCAGAGGGATTCTCCACCACGTTTAACAAGCCCAGACAAGAAGCACCACCACAGCAGCCCCTGCCTAACACCTCTCACCCTTCCAGGCTGAATCCCGTTAATCCTCATTAACCTTCCTTCAACACATCAGGAGAGAGTGGAGCTCGTGCGGATCACAGAGCCAGGGCTGCAGCGTGTGCCCAGACACAGAGCTGGGTTGTGGCTGCTGCATTCCCCAGCTGGCACACTCCTCTCCAGGCCTTCCCAGGAGTGCAGCTCTGCCTGCCAGAAGGCACCACCAGGAGTCAGTGCTGGCTGCCAGGAGAATTCACCCTTATGAGGAGCAGAAATGCCATACTGTTCAGCAAGAACTTGTTTTCCTGCTACACTAGTAGAGAACTGGTGGGATTCAAAGGAATAAGGGACTGAGGAGCAGAAGAATGGCACGAATGTGAAGCAGCTCAGTAAAGGACTATCAGTAAATGCTGGCACAGAGGAGGGACATGAAGGAGCTCATGCTCCAGGTGCACACCTGCACATCTCCCAGGCTTTGCTTCAGGTCCCAAGTCACACACAGAAACTGAGATAGGGATCCCATCATCACTGCTCTGAGAAGCCTCCCCTTGCACTTTGCAACAAACATTCACTGCAGTGACACAACCAGATGCAAACAAGTTCATTAAGCAGGGCTTTGCTCAAACGGCAGAAGAATGGGACCACTCCAGTCAAGTGTGGCCATGCACAAAGCACAGAGCAGCACACATCCAGTTAAGCTGCCTGGGAACATGCATCCCCCTCACTGCTTCCATGGGCTGCCACGCACCACACAGCTCTCATACCTCCACCATGACACCAGAGGCACCAGCAATATTTCATTTTGCACAAGCAGCATGGAAATAAGAACCTGGAAGCTCAGAAGACAGAAAACAGTTTTTTGGCAACGATGTTCATTTGCCCTTCCAGCCTCACAGAGGGCCCTGCCAAGCCCCAGGGTCACCTGGCAGTGGAGCAGCAGAGCTGTTCCACACTGGGGTCTCTTCTCCTGCCTCACCCAACCCTCTGCTCTGGAGAGGAGCATTCTTCTACTGCCCCCTCCAGCAGAACCCCCTCAGCAAACCACATCCAACCTCTGGACTCTGCTGCTCAGCCTCAGCTCTCCAGCCCTGTGCTGCACTCACTCAGATCAAAGTTTGAAGCATAACACAGAAATCCCCAGAAAGCATTTGGATTTCACAGGTAAGTCAGACAGCTGCCTCGAGGCAACCGGGTCTGCTGCAGGAAACCCTTCCCAGGGGGTTTAGGAATATGCACGTAGAAAGTGAGTGAAGCAACTCTAAGGAAAAATAGGCAAGAAAATAAGCAAAACAAAACAAACCATACATGCAATAATGGACTTGCATCTTATCAATTATGAACTAATGTTCAAAAAACAAGGGTGTAACATGGCAAGACTGCTAGACCTTTGTGATCCACATTTCCATGACGTCAAGAACCATCACAAAAATGATGCAGAAAACGTGGAACTTGCTTTTTGTTTCAAGGAAAGTTTGTGAACTCCAAGTCCCAGAGCAGCCCTAGGACAAGCTCCTCAGTATGATGCCACCACTGGAAGCACCTGGACTGAACTGCAACAGCACTTCAACATTTCATATGACCTAACCCACCCAAAGCCTCTTCAGACCAACACAGGAACTGAAGCACCAGGCACCAAGAGCCAGGAGTGAAGGCTGAAGGGTTTCACATTTATCCTTTCATGCCCCTTTCTTCCATCCCTCTGTGCAGAGGGAGGGCAGCTTGCTCTCTGCAGAAATATTTTAGGAATAATCAGTTGACCTTATCCAGAATAAAATAACTGATCCTGTGCTAGGCAGAGAGTAAGACAATTAAATACAATCCAGGAGATCATATCTGACACATCACTGGCCCCATTAGCAAGGCACAAGGGTTCTGGTGAGCAGAAGGGCCTGGGGCTGAGAGCTCTGTGAGCATGACTGAAGGCTCCTGACACCCACGCTGCCCCAGCAGCCCCCCCAAAAACTGCTCTCACTGCACCTTCAACAGGAGGCAAAGATCTGACCATGAAAACACTATCAGGAGTTCCTCCATAACTCATGAGTTAGAGATTAACTCCCAAAGAAGTGCCCAACACAGCTGGCAGATTGCTTGTCCCAAAGTGAGATATTTGCACCAAAATCATTCCCAGAACACCTTGACATGAGTTTCAAATAGCTACTGGGAAATCTCATCCCAAACATAAGCTTAAAAATAAATAAATAAAAGAGGAAGCAGCACTTTTAACCTGGCACAATAATCTTCATTCTGGGTTCAGATCCAATTCTGACAATCCAACCCAACTGAGTTATGGTGACTGTTGCTGTATTTGCTCAACATGCTGCAGGTCACAGCCCAGGCCATTTTCTCGTAGGACAAGAAATGCAATCCCAGGTCTGGTGTGCAAAGGGTCTTGTTAAACATTGGCATGCTTCAGTGTGCAACTGCCCTGGAGCCTCAAAGAAAGTCTCAAAACAGACTCATCATTGACAGAAGACCCACACTCCACGGAAGGCAGAGGATTTGCATAAGAACATAATTTTTCAAGCCCAATTAGTTTAAATCACAATCCTTCTTGCTGACGACCCCCACCATGACCTCTGAGTGTTGCAGACCAGTTCCCGTACAAAGGGTGCTCTGTCCTCCCTGTCTGACACTCCCAGGAACTTTGCAGGCAGGACGGGACAGCTCCCTGCAAAAAAACAACCCAAAGCCCTGCTTATACAATAGATGTTTGTCACCATTGTCACACCATCACAAAGGGGAAAGAGGAAGCACACGCTGCAATATTGGCCCCTGTTATGAAAGCAGCAGCTTTGTTTAGGCAGGAAAACAAAACCCGCGGAGCAATCGGAAGAGAAGGATTGTTAAAGCAAACAGCACAGGAGCAGTGGGAAAGTCATCCTCAGCAGAGAAACGCAGGAACCACCAGCTCTGCCACGGTGCTCCCCGTTCAGCTCCCCAGGAACCAAACCCTTCTGCTTCCACCTCCCATCCAGTCCTCACAGACCTTCTCCTGCCTCAGCCTCCTCCACCCCCACGTTCCTGCTCTGTCAGCACTCCCAACCTCCCCTCTCTGCACAAGCTCTCTGCCAGGCTCTCCCCTCAACCCACAGCTACAAGATGAGCCACTTATCACAAACCAGTTGCTTGAATTGCATTTTCTTTGGTTTCAGCAGCTACATCATTCCGAGACCATGACATGGATTATTTCCCGAAGACCAACTTAAAAAGAGAGGAAACACTACTAAGGAAAACCAGCTGAGAGTGAAAAGCGTTCCAAAAATCATCCCTTCAAAGGTCCCTGTCCACAAGGACTCTGAGACATGCTCCTCTGAAAATAATATCCTCTCTTCCAAGAGAGAAGCCTAGAGATATAAGAATGAGCAAGAAAGTATTATCCTTTATCCTAAAATACACTTAGCACCTGCAGAGAAGTATTCAGGAATTAGGAAGTGTCTTTGCTGAGTTACATTTGGTGCCAAAAGAGGGAAAATAACAAAAGACCCAACACATGGATTTGAAAGCATACTGAATAAAGAGCCTTTTGCCTATCAAATAATTATTACTGTCAGTGGCTATTACCATTGGAGGGAAAGCCCAAAATTACTCTGTGAAAATACTTTGCCCCCTTAAAAACAATTACACCTAAGAAGATCAGGAACGTTCCACCCTCTAAACAGAACAAGCTGGGAGGATGTTTTCTTTGTTTCGGGGGGGAAGCTGCAGTTTCCAGAATGAAAATGCTAATCTTTGCCTTTCTCCAATCTAAGCCCATTGTTTACATTTGTAAATGAACTGTGCAAATCAGCTGCTGAGAAAAAGTTTAATTAAGACTTGAATTTAATAGCAGGTTCTGGCGACTTAACTGTCTCTAGAAACATTAATTTCGTATTAGAAGTAATTGACCCCTATAAGGGAGCAGCACTTGGCACAATGACACAGTCCTGCAGCAGGACCCAGGCTGCTGGCACCGTGCAGAGCTCAACTGGATCAACTGGGACCAGATTCCCTTCAGCAAGAGGCTTTTGAAAACCTCCAGGGACCCAGCAGGTAGGAGATGGATGGGCTCCAGCTCCATCCACAGCACTGGCTTATCATCAGCAACGCCTGCAAACAGCAAAGTTGTGCTATCAACACCCCCAGAGCGTGGCCTTCATTTAATCCCTGGCCCTGCTGCTCCTCCTCCTGCTGTGTCTCATATCCCAGCCCTGTTCCCACAGCCTGTGTGAGCAGCACAGCCTGGCCTAGAAAGAGAGCTGCTCCCCCTTCTATCAGTTCCACTGTCAGAAGACCATCCTGCTTTCACTACCTTTTTTCCTGCTATTACTCTGGAGAAATCCACAATTTCTTCTCCTGCCACATCACCTCGGAGCAGTGACAGGTCAAGCTGAGTCCCCCTGGTGCTGCCAAGACCGGACTCGCTGAGTGATCAGCTCTCCAAGTACTCTGCTGAAAAGACCAGAGCCACACGTGGTCCTGGTGGCAGGAATCCTGAGAGAAGGCAAACAGGCTCTCCAGGGAATACCCTGGCATAGCTGTGGGATGAGTGGGTGCTCAAAAGGAGAAGCAAAGGGAAGAAGGTGCTGGCCATGCATCCATCCAAATGACTGAGGTGCCAAAGGCCACTGCCACCTCAGAGGACCCTCTAGGACATCCCGACTCTGGGACCCAGTCTCTACCTGCTCTGCATCCCAGCTGAACTGCAGGCTGAGAGCCCAGGACCGTGTCAATGATGCTCTCATTGTGTTTTCATGCATTTGAACATCTGCTCTGCAAGTCAATCTGCAAGAAAAATTCCCCTAAAATTTCCCCTAATTGTCTCTAAGTTCACAGTGTGGAAGTTACCAGCCACCCTCTGATTCTCTCACACAGCCAGTTTTCTGTGCCAGGAATAATACTTCTCCCTATTCCAAGAGGCAAAGTAGGCCTAGAGCACTTTTAAAACAGTTGTGCCTGATTTCATCCACAGCCATGGCAGGGTGTTTTTAAGCCCCAGTGCAGGACCAAGCCCTCTGCTCCAGCAGCTCCAGGGCCAGGCGGGAGGCCCGGGCAGGGCAGGGGCGGTCAGGCAGAACCACAGCACAGGGGCTGCGGCAGGAGAACATCCCTGGACAAACACGAGCGAGCCCGAGCAAGAGAGTACAAGCAGGTATTCCTAAAACACGCTCCCCAAACGAGCCCAGACTGACGAGCTCTTGGTTAGCAGACTAAAAGGCACAGCTCTTCTTCCACGCACACTCAACTCCCAAACAACAGTTTGTTGCAACTTCCCTAATGGTAGCACGGTAGAGAAATGAAACAGTAAAATGGGCATTTTCACCCATAAAAACCATCCAGAGCCATCAGCCAGCATCAAACACCGTGAGCAAAGAGCAGAGTGGCAGCACGTGTCCCATCGCCAGGGCACTGCCGTGGGTGCCCAACGCCGTCCCTTGGCAGGGTCTGCTGCTCTAGCAGGATGCTGGCAGCAGGAACAGGGCTCCAGAAATACCCGCACGCAGCTGGCAAGGCCAGAGGGCTCTTCCCACCGCGTGGGTGCTCGGAGCAGTGCCAAGACACCCACCACAGCCGGTGACCGGGGCAGCCTGCGGTGCCCGTGTGATGGTGACACGTTGTGTCGCATCTGGACCTGTTGTGAGCCACGGCACCACCGGCCGAGCCCCGAGCCACCCCAGCACGGCGGGCACGGGCCCCGCAGGGCTGCTGCCGGCGGCCTTGTGCTCGCTCCTCCCGCCTCGACGGGACGAGGCCCCGCTCACCTTGAAGTCGCGGCTGTGCTGCGGGGTGTACTCGAGCGTCCAGAGCGCCCGCACCAGCTGCGCCAGCTGCTCCGTGACCTCTCCGGGCGCGGGCGGCGGCCCGTCCGCGGGGGGCGGCCCGCCGCGGAACTGCTCCAGCGCCAGGAACTCGGCGAACAGCTCGGTGTTGCTGAGGCACTGCAGGATGGCGTTCATGAAGCAGGTGTTGCCGTGGTTGCGCAGCCCCGCCACGCCGGGCACGGCCTCGGAGCTGCCGGCGGGGCGCGGCGGGGGCTCGGGGCTGCGCGGCGGGCCCGGAGGGAAGCAGCTGCCCAGGCCGCTCGTGGCCTGCGGCGGGGGCAGGCGCGGGGCGAGCGCGCCGCGGGGCTCGGGCTCGCTGCTGTAGTGCGAGAGCGTGGAGAGGGTCTTCAGCACGCGGCTCATGAACCCGCCGAGCGACCGCCCGGACGGCGCCGGGGCCGGGGTGGCGGCCGGGGCCGAGCCCGCGCCGCCGCCCGCCGCCCGCCCGCGGAAAAGCCGCTTGCTGAAGGAGCGCTTCTCCTTGGCGCTGCCGGCCGGCCCGGCGCCGCTCACCCGCGACATGGCGGCGCGGCGCAGCGCGCATCCCCGCCCGGCGCTCGGCTCGGAGCTCAGCCCGTCCGGCGCTCGGCCCAGAGCTCAGCCCGGCGGCCGCCGCATCCCGCCGGGCCGGGTCGGGCCGCGGCTCCGCCGCTTCACGGCGCCGCCATGCAGCGGGCGGGGCGGGGCGCGCCGCCACGTGACCGCGCCGCCACCTTGGCGACGGGCAGACGCTACCGCAGCGCCGCCATCTTGGGTGCTGGCGCGGGGCGGGGCGAGGCGGGGCAGGCTCCACCCCCCGTGCCCCGCCCCTCGGGCCCGGCCACGCCCCTCTCGGGCCCCGCGCCCCACACCGGGGGCTCTGGCCCCGCTGGCCGGGACCCGCCCGGCCGGGCCCGCCCCGCTCGGGCCCGTTACTCCGGGCACCCCGCGCAGCCCCGGCCGCTGCCGTGGGGCGGCGCTGCGCGGCCGCGGAGCGCGGCGGGCGGGACGGGGCGGGGCGGGGGCGGGGGTAGGTACCGAGGGTAGGTATCGAGGCTGCCGCCCGCCGCCCCATCAGCAGCGGAGCCGGGACTGAGAGCGGAGCATGGCGCCACCGGGCCCGGAGGGTTGCCGAGGTGAGTCGCGGCCAGCGCGATACCCCCACCCCGTTCCGGGGGTCAAGCACCGGGAAAGGGGAGGGGATGCCGGGCGGGACGGGCCCCTGCGGTCGCGGTGCGGCGGGGCAGCGGGCGGGCGGCGATCCCCCGGCCGCCCCCTCAGCGCCCGGTTCGCCCGCAGCGGCCGCCACGGCTCCCGGTAAGAAGATCACGGCGCGGCTGAAGCGGACGCTGCCGGTGCGGGGCCCGCAGGCGCCCACGCTGAGCGAGCTGATGCGCTGGTACTGCCTCAACACCAACACGCACGGCTGCCGCCGCATCGTGGTGTCCCGCGGCCGCCTGCGCCGTCTGCTCTGGATCCTGCTGACCCTCAGCGCCGTGGGGCTCATCCTCTGGCAGTGCGCCGAGCTCCTCATGAACTACTACAGCGCCTCGGTGTCCGTCACCGTCCAGTTCCAGAAGCTGCCGTTCCCCGCCGTCACCATCTGCAACATCAACCCCTACAAGTAAGGCTCGGGGAGCTGGTGGGAGGATGGGAGGTCAGCACAGCACCGGGTTCCTTCCCCAGCTCGCCCCTGTCAGCGCTTTCCCGAGCTGGGTTCTCCCTGTGGGCACCTGGTGTGCCCCATCCCCGCTGTGCCATGTGCTTTTACACTCTCATCCCTCACTGCTGCCTGCTCACCTCGGCTCCTTCATGCTGTGTTCTGCTCCACACAGCCCCTGTCAGCTCTTTAATTCTCTTCAAATTCTCTTCTTCCCAAGACTCCAGGATTACAAACAGCATCATCACCTAAAGAATGAAAAGCTTCTTGGTTCTTTCTTTCCTTATGGGAGATTTTGACATGATTCATTAACAATACTTTTTCTCCTGTCAAATCATGCTTTACATTGCTCTCTGTTCTGCTGCCAGATTCCCACCCTGGTCCCCATGGGGATCCAGCTTTTGATGACTCTTCACAGATGAAGTCTTACTTCCACATACTCTGCCTCCTCAGACTTCCTAACATAAGGAGCTTGAGAGTCTTGGGAGAACTTTCTGTGCAGTTCAGTCTGCTCTGCTTCCTGGGGTCCTTGCTCCAAATCTCTCCATGGATGTAACTGTGTCTGCCCTCACTGGTGTGAGACCTGCACGGGGAATTCTGTCCCAAGCCGTGGCACCCAGAGTGCAGCAGGCAGGGCACTGCACTAGGCAGTGAGGTGTGATGGGGTGTCACTGTCACCTTGTCTCCCATGCAGGTACAGTGCTATGAAAGAATATTTATCTGAGTTGGACAAAGAGACAAAAAAGGCTTTGGAAACTTTCTATGGATTTTCGGAGGGCAAGTCCAAGGTGCGCCGGTCGGTGGATGACTGGAACAGCACAGGGAGCGACTTCTTCCAACAGATCCCCCTGCTGAAGGTCGAGGACTTCTCCAGGACAGCGACTGAGCTGCACAGTGGGCAGAAGAGGAGAGTGGAGGGAAGTGTCTTTCACAAGGATTCGTCCATCGTGAACTCTGGCGATTCCAATGACATCATTGGCTTTCAGCTGGTGAGTGTCACTGTGCCCTGGCCGGGGAGTTCTCTGTGGGGCAGCAAAGGGCTGTGCTGGGGTCAGTGTCCCTCTGGCAGGTTTTATTGCCTGCTCGGGTGGCTTTGCAGTGCACAGAGGTGAAGAGCATCCTGTCTGCTCTTCTGCCTAAGCCTCCATGGCTGCTGCAGTCACCTCCAGCTCTCTGGAAGAGCAGTACCTTCCTAAGTCTTCCCAAATAGAGTCAGTGTCATCTGTGACCTTTCCTGTGGTCCTGAAATATTTGGTCATGTCAGCGCTGCATAAAAGGTCTTTGATGCCCACTGTAACTTCATACATGGTTATTTCTGTGGAAGAGAAACACTATCAGATGTACCTTGTACAGTCCTAGATTTACACCTGCCTTGTAGAATCCATGATTTCAGTCCATCTGAAATGTTTTTTTTCCCTTTGTGCTTGTCAGTGTGACGCGAACAACAGCAGTGATTGTGCCCTGTACACATTCAGCTCGGGTGTTAATGCCATCCAGGAGTGGTACAAGCTGCATTACATGAACATCATGGCACAAATTCCCCTGGAGACTAAAGAAAAATTGAGTTATTCTGCTGATGACCTTATACTGACATGTTTCTTTGATGGCCTATCTTGTGACAAAAGGTCAGTGCACAGAAAATTCCTGCCATCTTAACAGCTTATTTCCAAGCCCATAATATATAGGAATGGAATATTTGGTATTTGCTGAATTCCAGCAGGAGCTACTGCTAGTTCTGTGAATCTGCCTCCCCCATGCTATTAACCCCCATTCCCACATTAAAACTTCCTCGAGTTTCCATTTCCTCATACATTAAACTAGATCATACTGCCATGTATTTTCAAATTACTCAGAAAGAGAGCCACATCTTTAATCAAAATAAACTTCCTAAAAAGAAGTAGTAACCCCTCCCATGCAGACCTGGTCTGTCTCTTGTCAAAACCAAAGTCCAAATGTGCTTTTTCCCACAGACAGAACTACAGTCATGATATTTGACTTCTTGCAGGCACTTCACCCGATTCCATCACCCTCTCCACGGCAACTGCTACACCTTCAACAGCGGCGAGAACGGGACCATCCTGAGCACCTCCACGGGTGGCAGCGAGTATGGTGAGGGGGCACTGCACATCTGGGGTGTTCAGGGCACTCTGCACCCCTGGGGTGTTCAGGGCACTCTGCACCCCTGGGGTGTTCAGGGCTCTTTGCACACGCAGGGTGTTTGTTCTCTGTCACTTTGCACACCTGGGATATTCCCTGTCACTTTGCAGACCCGGGGTGCTCCCTGTCACTCTGCACACCTGAGGTGTTCCCTGTTGGTTTGCAGAGGAACTGTTTGATAACAAGTGGTGCAGCAAACTGGATCCTGCTGGAGCGTGAGCGATGTGTTGGCTGTAGATGTACAGGCTGATTGGGGAAATGCCTGTTTGAACTAGTGCAAACTCTTGCCTGAGAATACAGATAATATCATTGCATCACTAATGTTTTCCAGCTGAAATGACTGCTGCCCAGTTATATAAGTGAATTCCAGCCACGTTCTCAGCAGATGTTATTTGTTGTTCTCGGTGCCACCAAGGGATGTTACTGGCTGCAGGTGTCTTGGTGTGGCTGGGCAGAGGCTGTGCTTGGCTGTGTCTGTTCTACTTAAGGCCAGATAACATGAAACAAACCGTGCTGCCCTCCCTGACCAGAAAACGTGGCTCAGGCTCCTGGTGTAACTTCTTGCCTTGTCTCTGTGGTTCAGGATTACACGTTGTTCTGTACATCGATGAAGCAGACTACAACCCCTTCCTGGTGACATCCACAGGAGCCAAGATCATCGTCCACGACCAAAACGAGTATCCCTTCATTGAAGACATTGGCACGGAAATTGAGACTGCAGCGGCCACCTCCATAGGGATGCACTTTGTGAGTGGCAACAATCTCCTTTCCGGGTGCACCTTTGCCTTGGTACAGCCGTAAATAGGAACTGATGGGGTGATTTCAGAGAGCCAGCAGCTCGAAGGCTTTTAAATACCTCCCACTCAGCAGCTGAAGTGCCCTGAGGGAAGTGCTATCCTGTGATAACACTTTTCTGAACAAAAGAGGCCATGGGAAAATCAGTCTTTTATCAACCAAACCGGCCTAGGATATTGTTTGTTCTCCCTTTTCTTCCACCCCTTGGCTTTCCAGGGGATTTTTGGTTTTGTTTTCACAGCAAAATCCACAACCATAGAAGAGTGTTGTCAAGTGCCTGGTTTGCCTTTAGCAATGAGCAGGGAGTTCCATCCCACAAGGGTGCCTGGGCTGGAGGAGCCAGAGCTGGAGCTGTGGGTCCCCGCGTTGGGGATGGTGGCAGCACAACCCCTTGAACTATTTTGTGAATGTAAGCCTCGTTGTGCTGGTTTTCTCTCTATACCAGCAATAAAAACACCCTCGTGGGCAGCGGCTTTGCTTTTGCCAGCTGTGAGCAAAGGCAAGGAGAGCTGCAGCTCCTGCTTTCCCCGTTTAGTGTCAGAGGAGGCATTTGGCCCGAGGGGGTTCGGCAGAGCAGAAAGCTGTGCCAGGTCCCCTTTCATGTGGATGGGCTGTTAAGTGAGCACTTCAGCTCTGCTTTTCTTTCTGCTGGTCTGGTCGGAGCATCAGCCATCCTGCTTATCTCGGTGTGCCGAGGCCCTGCATTAGAAAAGACATTAAAAGAGGGCTGATGTTTTACAAAATGTAAATAGTTAACTGTATTCTAGCTGTCTGGAAAACTGTGGCAGCAACTCCTTGGTCAATCATGACTGAGAGATTTGGGAACCAGGATGGTGTGAGGACACCAAGTCTCACAAGACTTTTCTCTGTCACCATCACACCGTACAGAGACAGTCATACAAGGCAGAGTCTCAATATTTAATGTAATATGTTCCTGGTGTTGCTGTAGTATAAAAAACAAGATAAAAAACCCCCACAAGTTTAGGCACATCTTAGTGTCTGTATATAAAAGATTTGTCTTGAGGAAGGGATCCAATTGCATCCTAATGAGGCAGCCAAAATAGAAGCTGGACACAATTTCTGGTCTCAGAACAAAAGCTGGGGATCACTGTCCTGCTGGGAAAGGACAACTGCAGAGAGCCTGCTGAGTGGTGAGGGGTCAGGATTGTCAGGACAGGGCTGCAGCACCGAGGTGCCACATCAGTCCTTGTCCCCACATGCAAGGTCACAAAGAGGACACAGCAGCTGTGTCCCTCACTGTGCTGGGCTCTGAACACTGCATCAGTACCTGCTTATTGCTCGTGGCCTTCTGCTGGGTACTAGGACTGGCCCCCACCTTCAAAAATATTCCAAGGTGTTTGGCATGCAAACAAGGCATTGCTTGGTCAGAGTTACAGCGCTTTAGTTAAATATTTAGTTCCGAAATTATTTCAGTATCTGAAGGAACAAGTAAGCTTTTGCAGGAGCATAAGCCACAACAAAATAATTCTATACAAAGGATCGATGATCTCTTGGAAGCCCCAAGAACAGACTGAGGCAGTGTCTTGGCACTACCTTGTATGTGGAATTTAAAAGCTGGTTTCAGTCAGTTTTCAGAAGTAATGCATCTCTCATACTGAAATCCCATCTTTCCCTCCAAAGAAAGAGAGATCTGAGCATCTCTAAAAGCACTGATTTGCACCACAGTGGCCCAGAGCCTTCTCTTGCTGTGGTGAGGTATGCTGCTATCAGGTGTGGCCCCAGGGGCTGGTTTCAGTGCCTTAGGGGCTACGAGCCTTTCTCAGGTAAATTGACCCTTTGTACAGAATTTTAAATTCTAATGTTAAACTCTGTAGAGAAAGACAGGTGAATGGATTCTGAAATTGAATTTTCTTGTGGTTTCAGGCCACTTTATTGTAAAGTGGATAATTACTGCAGAGAGATAACAGGAGCTGAGGGAGGCAAGGCAGTCTGCAGGAAGTGGGCCATGGGGCTGGAATCAGATTTTGGGAACTTGAGGGCTCCCAGCCTTGGTTTCACAGAGCTTGCAGGCACAGACTTGGCATGTCAGAGCTCTTTGCTCTGGGCAGAGATTTGGAACAGGAAAAGTCATTAACATTTGAGAGGAAGGGTCAAAGCAGCACCTGGAAAAAGGTTTGAGGGAGACACAAACATTTGATTTAGAGTGGATTGAGAGAGGTGCTGTTGAGCACTAGTGGAGCCTCAAGTGCTGTTTGCCCACGGCACAGGAGCAGCCAGTGCAGCAACAGCTCAGGCAGGTGGGATCCTCACAGAAAATAACCCAAAACAAACCCTATCCCACAACCACCGTCCCTCAGAACACAAACATCCAAAGCAAGCCATGCACAGCCTCTGAGACTAGGAGAGAACATGCATATGGATTACTTGACTTTGAAAAATCCTCACTGCTATGGTTATAGCACCTTGCATTCCTGCAGAAGGTTTCCAGGAAGACAGCAGACAATCCCGCCAGAGCAGTGTTTTGGGAAACTGATATTAGAAACAAAAAACCCCTTGTTTTGACAAGGCATCGACAAATCATTTTAGGTAGCAAAAGGTAAACATTCTATTTAAAGCTGCCTTATCACTTACAGTTTCAGAGCTGGGATAAAGTGTCGCTGAATCCTTTGGGAAACTCCAAAAAAACCAAGTTTTGTTCTTTTCTGTTTCCCAGACTCGGTCTCGCAAGCTGAGCAAACCCTACAGTGACTGCACAGAGACAGGAGCTGACATACCTGTGGAAAATCTCTACAACAAGAGCTACTCACTCCAGGTAAAGCCATTACATTTGGGATTATCAGCTGCTTGAAAACTACCTGCATAAAAAGCTTTATAACAGTCTGTGGTTCAGAGACTGAGAACAGTCTGAGCACAGGGCTGTGCTGATGTGAAATGCCACGGCACTTCTTAAAATCCAACTTTTATTCCTAAGTGGTTGCTGTTTGAAGTTCCCTCAGGCACCCTGTTAGATAAAGAGAGAACATGAGCTCATTAGGCAATTTTCAAGCAATGTGAGACTGGAAAATATTGGCCAAGTAAAGGTTGCAGCTTAGTAACCCTTGAAGCCAGAAATTGTGACCTTTAGGACTCCAAGAATAACAGAAACCATCTAATCAGTATCCAGATAGCAGGATGTTTGTTTACAGAGTAAGTTTCCACTAATTTTACATGGTTTCTGTAATTTGGTCCTCTTGGAGAGTGTCAGTTGTTCTGGCACTCTCCACTTGAAGAATTGTACTTACATTAGCTGCTGCCTGCTGCAAAGCCCAGGTCTAGGCTGAATTTGTGCTTTATGGGGAATATGAAATCTGCTGTGGTGTAGTGCCAGGTAGGATCACCCAGACATTGTCCCAGGTTTTTAATAACAGTACTTCACCGAAACTCAGTGCTCAGGAGGGCTGGGACTGGAACCAAAAGGCTTGACTGAGATTTAAAAGAGAAGTTCTGTTCCTGCATGTCCCAGTGTTTTAGCACAAACCACAGCTCTGCTGCCTTGTTAATCCTCCCAGCTTCACCTCTCCCAGTAGGCACCAGCAAGGTTTGGTGGAAGCTGAGAACGTTTGTTGCTGTGAGTCACTTCCCACACCTAGTTAGTGATTCATGGGCCACGTGCCATGGCAGGCCTAAACCCCTCTCCTTGACTCTGTAAAGAGCAACTGCAACACTGAAACTTTTGGTGGCTATAGGGGAAGTGGGGGCATTCATAGAACCCCATATATGTAATCCTCCAAGAAGATTATATTCTTATTTTTTGCACTAGAGCCTCGACCCTCTACTGTACTTTCTGCCTGTGTTTGTATTCACTCACAGCAGAGTCTGAAGGCCCAGGGAAGCAGGGTTCCCATCCCACTGCTGTTGTCATAAGCAGGATGGTTTTAGGTGTACAGGAGCCTGGAGCTTGGTGCTGCCTCTTAGCTCCCAACTCTGTTTTTTTCTCCCCAGATCTGCCTGCACTCCTGCTTCCAGAAGGCCATGGTGGAGTCCTGTGGCTGTGCCCAGTACGCTCAGCCCTTACCTCCTGGGGCCGAGTACTGCAACTACAAGAAGAACCCAAACTGGAGTTAGTATTGAAACACCTCTGGCACTGCACCTGCCTCAGCTGCCAGTCCTGTCCCCTGCATCCCCAAAGTCCCTGTCACACAGCCCCTGCACCCCCAGCAGGCCCATCACACAGCCCCTGTATTCACCCTGCACCCCCAGTGTCCATCACACAGCCCCTGCACCCCCAGTGTGCTGGGATGAGGCAAATCTGCCTTAACCCACTTAAGTCTCCACCCCCAAAGCCAGAAGTGCCTCCCTTGCTCTCACTGACTGGTTTGTGAAACTTCCCCTGGTGGCTTGTCACCTGTGCCCACCACAGAGCAGTGGAGTGGAGGGCTTGACCAGGTGTGGCAGTTTTTTTTCATGCCTGTATCAAGTGACAGCCACTTCTCAAGAGTCTTTTGCAATATTTATAGGGTAAATCTTTTTATCCCCTCCATGTAGGCGATGGCCACAAGGGCCACCTATGTCCCAGATGTCCCACTCCAGCACAGGTAGCAGCTTTTCTTTCTGGCTTCTCACACACATCCTGCTCTTCCTCTGCAGTGTACTGCTACTACAGACTGCATGAAAAGTTTGTGAAGGAGCAGCTGGGCTGCCAGCAGATCTGCAAAGACGCCTGCAGGTGAGTCCTCGCCACAGCCAGAGGTAAAGTGTGTGTGGGAGTCAAAGCTCACAAGTGACATCCTGCCTTTCTCTGCAGCTTCAAGGAGTGGGCACTCACCACCAGCATTGCTCAGTGGCCATCCATCGTGTCAGAGGTCAGTCCCAGTTGCACTCCACCAGAACAGCAGCCTAGCACAAGGCATTGAGTAACCCCAGAGGCTCAGCACAAAGGCAGGAGCCCTGGGGTACTCAGTAGCATTCAGTGATGCTGGATGTTCACCATTAAACTGAAATTTGTCTTGGGAGATCCCCTTGGGCTCAGCTGGGCTCTCACACACTCAGTCCTGGTGGCCATACTTGCCCAAGGAGGTGTGGAGCCTGAATCCCTTACAAGGGTCTCTGCACAAGAACCTGCAGCTCAAGTAGCATTTTCTGTCTGTTCTCCAGGACTGGATGCTCCGAGTTCTCTCTTGGGACAAAGGGCAGAAACTCAACAAGAAGCTGAACAAGTAAGTCCCCCTGTGTGTTCCTGCCTTGCACCTCCAGCTCTGATATGATCTCGGCAGCCCTAATGATGGCAATTGGGGAAAAAGCTCCCTTGGAGCAGCCCAGCCCTACTGGTCCAACTGGTTATTTGCATAGTTTTTCAGTATGTTTCATGTTATTGTTTTACTAAAGCCTCTGCCTGCCTCCTGCTTCCCCAGGACAGACCTTGCCAACCTGATGGTGTTTTACAAGGACCTGAACGAGAGATTCATTTCTGAGAATCCTGCCAACACGGTGAGTGAGTGTGCTGGTCCCTACTCCCAGGACACACAGCACTTCCTCCCACACAGGCTGGGAGCTTTCACCTGCCCAGGGGAGCAGTCCCACACGGGCAGGGGCAGGAAGCTGATCTCAGATATGCACCTCTGGGCTGGTCCTGCCCTTTCCAGCCCTTATCTCGGGCCATGTCTCTGCCTGTCCAGCCCCGAGCCCTGTGCAGGGGCAGCCTGCAGGCTGCCCACAGCAAGCTCAGCTCCAATCTTCCTCTGAAGCAGAGCCAGAGAGAACAACAGCAGAGATGGGCCCGGTGTGTTTGGGAGTGCTGAGCAAGCCCTGGGTGTCCCAGCTCAGTCCCCCTGCCTGCCAGAGCAGCACCATGGACACGTGCCCATTGCAGGCCCTAACCCGTGCTCTCTGCCCTTCCAGCTCGTCATTCTGCTGTCCAACTTCGGGGGCCAGCTGGGGCTGTGGATGAGCTGCTCCGTGGTGTGTGTCATTGAGATCGTGGAGGTGTTCCTCATCGACTCGCTGTCCATCGTCCTGCGGCGCCAGTGGCAGAAGGCCAAGAAGTGGTGGAGCCACCGCCAGAGGAGCAGAGCGGGGAAAGCACCGCAGGGCAGCGACCCGGAGAGGCAGGGCCACGACAACCCCACCCCCGTGAGCATCGACGAGGACCTGCCCACCTTCACCACCGCCCTGCGGCTGCCGCTGCCCCAGGACAGCCCCCTGCCCAGGACTCCCCCTCCCAATTACAGCACCCTGCGCCTGGACACCGCCTTCACCGAGCAGCTGCCTGACACGCTGGAGATGGGCCAGCACTGACACTTGGCACCCACCTGCCCCCTGCCCACAGAGGTGGGCGCTGGAACCACGCAGGGTGAAAGGCACAGACCCAGACAAGCACTGAAGGGCTGTCAGGTCACACCCTCACTCAGGGATTGAACCGGCAGTCAAAGCTGCCCTGAGCAGAGCTCAGACACGAAGCCAAGGGCTCAGAGACATTAGGAGCTTCAAGCAACATCAGTGCTGGAGTTAATGATGGCAGGAGATGGCTGGAGCAGGATGTGGTGCTAAGCTGGGATGTCTCACCAGGCAAAGGCACGCATTAGCCACCAGCTGCACACACCCCATTGCATGTGGGCAGGAATTGCTCCACAGCAGCAGATTGATGCCACATTGAGCATTAACACTAATTGCTCTCTGCTGTGTGGCTGGACTTGTGGGAAAAACCCCGGGCTGTCAGGAATCCAGGATGGCATTTGTAGGAAGGGCATGACAGGGGCTTGGGCAAAGCACAAAAGAGCATAAAAGGAAAGCTCTCACTTGAATTTTCATTAGAAACCTGATTCCAATGGTGGCCTGAGGAGCTCTTTCTAGTGAGATGAAGAGCCAGGACAACATTTCTACAAGAAATGTGCTTGTAGAGCAAGTTACTACACAGCTGGGTAGGAAAGCCCGAGTCATCCCCAAAGAATCATCTGAAAGGGCATGAAATCCAATTTGGAGCACAGTAATGAAGTGCATCCTCTGCAAGCTTGATCCATTCCACATCACTCAGGCAGCCCTTAAACATAACTTCCAAGGAGCTCATTAAATGACTTCCCAGAAGCCTCACAGGCAGCTAGCTGGCTGCTCTTTTCCTGCTCAACCCCAGGCCAGGATTTCCTCCTGCAGCCACTCAGTTCCTGGAGCTGGCAGTGCCTGGAGGATGTCTCACTCCACCTGTACCTCAATCCCCTTGCCCCCATCCACAAAGCAGTGTCAGCAGGCACCCTTTACCTCCTGTGCTGCTCCCCCCATGGGCCAGGGGCTGCTGCCTGTGCCCACACAGCCACGAGAGCTCCTGGGGCGAGCTGGGGCACCAGGGCTGTGCCCTGCACCAGCTCCCTCCTGCCACAGCTCTGCTGCCTTCAGCACCCCGGGGGTGTGAGCAGAGCCCACTCCACACTGGCTGCTGGGGCTGTAGAGCCAGAGCGTGTGAGGGGTGTCTGAGTGGAAGAGTCTCCTTTCCTTTCTCTGGGAGCTTATTTTATAGAGGACAGTGAGAATCCAGAAAGGTTTTTTAATGTGCAATAAAACCTATTTTAACTGAATTATTTAAATAGATGATAAACTGAAAAAAATAAAGATATATTTTTGAGTAACTGCTTTGCCCTTTTGTTTTTAAATCACCACTCTGCGTTAGTTCCCTGCAGGCATCCAGAGAGTTCAGGGGACTTGTCTCTGCATGCCCAGGGGCTGTAGGTTCTCAGCAGGGCCAAGTCTCCCAGCAGAGATGGAGCAGGGGAGTTCTGTGGGACCCAGCTCAGGGGCAGGCAGGAGGGACATGGGATGCAAGCAGAAACAGTGAAAAGACCTTTCACAAAGCAGTGCAAACCAGCAAGGGACCAAAACCACTGGAAATTCAGGAGTCCCCAGACAGCTCCACACCTGGGCAGTCCCTTGGAGGCCACAGGAAAAGTGAGAAGCAGATCTGCCTCAGCCCCTGGTCCAGCACTGAGAGGTGAGCCCTGGCTCATCCCCATCAGCTCCAACAGCATCAAACACCAACGCTCATCACAACAATCCTGCCCCATGGGCAGCAGTGGCAGAACTGCCCCAGAGCAGCCCAGGGAGCCCCAGCTCCCCTTGGTGTCACAGGCACGAGCTGTCCCTGTCCCCACTAGAGCAGGGACAGGGGTCACAGCAAAGCCCAGAGCCAAGGAACCTCAGGACAAACTCCTGCCTTGCCAGGCTGGTGGTGCTGGCACAGGAGCTGGTTTGGGTCTGTGACACCTGACTGAGGAGCTGCCCCCAGCTCACACAGACATGGCTGCAGGGAACACTGGGGGCTCCCCTCCCAGGGAAAGCCAGAAAACACCACAAACTGTGCCACGGCACAGCTGTACCTGTGAGTGCAGCAGAACCTCAAAGACCACAGCTCTCCACAGGGTCTGCTCACATCTGCTGCAGGCAGTGCTAAGGAGAGACTGTCCAAGCTCAGTTTGATGCTGGTCCTGCTCCTTCCCCACTGCTGAACCACTCCTGTCTTCTCTCAGACTGCTCAAACACCCCTACCCACCCCCAGCCCTCGGAGCTGGATTAAATCAGTGAGTGCTGATCATACAATCAGCCCCTGACAGGAGGGAACCCCCCACACCTGGCTCTAGGGCCAGGGAGGGCACTGGCAGCTGGCACAGATTGGGATGGCTCAAGGGTTTGTGTTTCTAAAGCCTCCCCAGAGCAAAACAAAGCCTTGGAAAATAAACAGAGTGGTGCCAAGCCTGTATGAAGGCAGGTATAGGGACTGGTCAGACTTTACACCAAGAGCTGCAGTTCCAACAAGGGGAATATCCTCTGATGGAGAGCAAGGCTGCTAACCTGTAGTGGTCCAGCAGCAGAAATATCAGGGCTCTCCCACTGAAAACCCAGGATATGTGTCCTGACAGGTGCTTTTTTGGGAGAACACTTGCTTTAAATTCTTTGGAAAGCACAGGTGTTGGGCAGGTGCTGTTTGCAGTTAGTCTTGGGGCAGGTGCAACACCTTTTCCCCATGTATGAATAATCCTCGGAAGGCAGAGGGCCACGGAGCTACAGAAATGCTTTACTTCATCCTGAGTTAAACACTGAACTGTGCTGAGTCACCTGAGTCATCTCAAACACAGAAAACCACCGGGGACAGTCTGGGAATCGGGACTGGCACATGCTAAACATCATAAACCCAAAGTGTCTGGGACACTCAGCCCGGGCTTTATGGGAACAACAGGCTGTAAAATCCAGGGCTCAGCACCAGCCTCTGTCTCACTGCACTGGCTCCAGGGAAGCCACCCTGGTCTCCCCCCATGGGGACAGGGGCTCCCAGGAGACTCTTGGCAGGTGATGGGAGCCCAGCCAGCCCCGGGCAGGGCTCAGAGCAGGAGCCCCTCACTCACAACAGCCCTGCCCCTGGGATACAGCTGCAGCCACAGTGCCCAGCTCCTGGGCAGGGATGCCAATGACCCCAGAGCCACAGAGCCACAGCTCCAGCCCTGTGGCACTGCAGGGAGCAGCTGCAGCACCCAAAAACACAGCGAAGGTGGGGGCAGCACGGCAGGAACTGCCTTGGCAAGGAACAGGCTGGGCAGAGGTGTTGAAACAAACCTGCAGCAGGTGCTGCTGACTCAGGGCAAAGGCTGTGGGCACAGCAGGATTGGCCCTGGCACATAGGGACTGGCCCTGGCACACTGGGACTGGATCTTCGAGGAGAGGAGGCACAGCAGGAGAACCTGGCTCTGCTCTGCTCTGCTCCTCCACAGAGGGGAGAGAGCCAGAGGTGATGGAGGAGCTGTGGGGGAAAAGTGTGTGAGGAGGAGGAAAACCCAGCTGCACAGAGATTTTCTGGGTGGCAGGAGTGTGCCCGTGTCAGCCTGGAGGGTGACCCCAGCCTCAAACAGGGTGGAAGGAAGGGGCAGCTGCCCAGAGCTGCTGCCAGCACATGTAGCCAGGCAGCACCGAGAGGGTTAAAAAATGCCCAGGCCCCTTGCAGAGAGGAAACATCTGGGTGATATGCAGTGGTCCACAAACAGGTTTGGGAGTTAAATGCCTCATTAATGTGAATGGGAAAGGCATCTCCAGCACATGCCTATGGAAATGGAAAATCCATCCAGGCTCTGAGCCTTTTGTGCTCAATCCCAGCTCTGGGGAGGCCAAACACTTTTGTCTGGGCAGTGTGGATGGTTCAGTTTTACCCCTTCCCCTCCAGGGCAGGGTGAGCCAGCACCAGAGCTGGGCAGTCCTGGGGGGACAGCCCGGCCTGAGCCATCCCCACCAGCCCAGCTGTGCTCGGCACTTTGGAGCATTTTCCAGCAGCTGGAGCATCCCCAGCCAAGGCCAGGCTGGCAGGGGAGCCATGGAGTGGTTGCAGGCAGTGAGTCAGGGCTTGACCCACGGGAGCAGCAGGTCCCTGCACAGTGACAAGCCAGGACAGGGCCCAGCACTAATCCCAGCAGCTCCCCAAGAGCAGGACGGGCCAGGACGTGCCCTCAGCAGCTGCCCACACCCCCTGGCACACCTGGCACTGGGCTCAGCTGGAGCCAGGCTGAGTGAGAGCAGTGCCCAGGTGAGCAGGGGGAACAGAAACCCCTGGGCATTGCCAGGCAAGCATCCCATCCCATCTTCTCCCATCATATCATCCCATCCCATCCCATCCCATTATCCCATCCCATCCCATCCCATCCCATCCCAGCTGGGCTGAAGCTGCTGTGCCCCTGCAGCCCTGGGCAGAGCTGAGCCTGCCCTGCCCTCATGGCACTGCTGGTCACCCCTCTCCGGAGCAGGGTGCCCTCAGGGTGCCCTGGCCCTGGGGCAGTGCTGCTGGAGGGCAGGGGCTCTGCAGACCCCCCTGTCCTTGTCCCAGAGCTGTCCCCTCCAGCCCCACACAGGCAGCTGTGGGCCCGGGCTGCTGACCTGCAGCCATGCCTGCCTGTAACGCAGCCTGAGGTGTGAACAGGGAAACACACCTGGCCCCAGGGCTGTGCACAGCCTGCTCCTGCCTCTCTGTCCCCTGGAATCCTCACCCAAGCCTCAGCACTTTCCTGTAACTCTCCTGCACTGCCTTGTCCCTCCCAGCCTCGCGGGTCAACCTCAGTTTCCCCCCCAGGAGGAGCTGGGTGGGAGCTGGACCCTGCTGGGACCGGACCCCCCTCACTGCTGGGCATGTGGGGGTGCCAGCCCTGCCAGCCCCCCAGGGCCATGGTGGCACTGTGACCCTGGTGGCACTGTGACCCTGGCAGCCTGGCCATCAGCAGTGTTCCCAAAGCACAGGAGGGGACACTGGGGCAGAGTGACAAAAACCCAAATCACAAAGCCCTGAGCAACTGAGCCAGGTCCCATCCAGCACCGGGTATGGGATACGGGGTCACATCTCTCCCTGCCACTCGTGTGCTTTGTCCAAATGTGTTTTCAGAGATTAAAAACATGTTCCCTGTATTTATCCACCTGCAGCAGAGCACACGGCAGGCCTGTGGGATGTGATGACCCAGAGCACGGCGGAGGTGGGAGCTGGCTGCAGCCCGGTGAATCACCCTGTTGTCACAACGCCTCTCACTGCAGCACCGTCCTCTGGGCTTAAAGACCTTCT